TTAAGTAAATTGTGAATATAAAAATTATGCTGAAAATAGCACTCATTTTATGCCCACTCTTATAAATTTTTAAGACAGTTTCAGAATAATAGATTAAAAATTATTCCAGTATAATACTTTTTAAGTTACATATAGAATATAGAAGTGAGAAACGTTAAATTTATCTGCTGTTATTAAATTAAAAATATGACTTAACGAAACGCTTACTTATTTATTAAAATAAGACATATTGAACAAAAAAATAGCATGTAAAATAATTACCTTTTAATTGTAGCAGGTTCCCTGTAGGCATTCCAGCACGTGTTTGTTGCCTGAGACAGACATGTTTTAAATTCTTCTACTTCGTCTTCTCTTTCAATTGCCGTTCTAAATACGATTTCTGAATCTGTAGATTTTTTTTCGTCAATAATCGTCGTAGGGAATTGCACCAACAATTTTGCAAGAACATCCGATTTATATAAACAAGTAGTCGTCGCCATTGCACATTTAAATGATAGCAATTCTTTCCCTTGTTTACAAACGCACCGCAAAAGCAATTTGGCGACAGAGCAGGTTTGACGTAAAAGCTTTCGCCAAGAATGCCAAGCGGTGCCAAAACCGTGAGCATTTCCGTGAGTGCAGTCCGCACAGAGACGTTCACAGTTGCTCCTTGATTAAGATCACTTGCAATTTGTCGCACTGTTGCTCTCTTGTTGTGCTGCACAACCCTGGCCAGCCTTCTCTCTGATCGAGCATTCAGTAGCCTGTGACGATCACAAGTCTGACGTTGAGACCCGGTTTTTTGCTTGATTGTCCATTCTTTGNCTTTGGTTCGACAGAGCACTATGTCTTTTATTATGCGAATTGAAACTTCTGCATAATTATTTGTGTTATGCTGACGAGTGAGTTTATCCTCTCTAAAGAGCAACACCCACTCGTCTCTGCGCTCGTAAAATTTTTCAAATCGTTTTACGAAGTCTGGGAACTTGCTCCTTTCCTTTAAAATGTTCAATGTCGCCTCACTCAATTCTTGCTCAGAAGCAGCATACATCACCTACAAGGTACAAAAAGTTAACTTTCTTACACATCAGCATTTTAATCTTTATCATGAAGTTTTACTCAGATTATTTCAAAAAAAATTTTATGTCACAAGATATCCATCATAGTAGACTTTCTCATGTTGAAAGGTACTAAATAAGATTCGTGATTTTTTTTTACATTTAAATCGGATTTTTTTATATTTTAAATCAGATTTTTTTATTTTTTATTCTAATACATTGTAAGAACTTTAATTTATGATTAAAAAAATTTTATAAATGTTTTTATCAAAATTAAATTAATAGATCAAAAGATTTTTCAAATTGTAATTTCAAATGTGTTGAAATTTTAAACTACGAAAGAAAGAAAGTAATTTTTTTAATTAAAATTAATTAATTCAGCAATTTATTTAAATATATATATAAATCAGTTGATTTAAATCAACAAACCCTGGTACTAAAATTAAATTATATGTATATCAATGAACCTCTCAATAAAGAAGGGAAAAGTAAAGCAATGGGAAGAGTAATTGTGTTTAATAAAAGAATGCTATCTCTAATAAATATAGTTAATTCACACTTATTAGATATGCTATGGGGCAAAAATAGTTGTTTCTAATGTAAATTTTTCAGCTACCTAAAGTAAAGTCTGACTTATGTTTAATGATTTAACTTTTTTTTCCGTTAATATCTCATACATACACTCATTAATAATTATCTAAAATATTACATTTATCTCATAAAAATCAAATGTTACAAGTTTTAAAAAAACATGAATCACATAATAAGTAATATATTGGAGAAATAAAGTGATTAATGGCGAATAAGATAACATTTCTTTCAGAGAAACAATATTCGATACACAAACACACCAAAATTATTTGCATTTGTGATAAAAATAGTTTTATGCAAATATATCTATATGTATGTATTTATTTTAATTATTGAACACTTTTCAATTCCTTTTTTAAAACGTATTGAATTGGAACTAAATTGCACAGATATTGTGGAAGAATCATATTAAATGTTTGAATATTATTTTCCAGCCATGCTAAAAGCTACAAAATATTTTTATCAGTTAACATTCAAAAACCACAATATTATAAAAGTATTAGAAAGTATAAAATCAAAAGAGTAAGAAATTTAAGTGAACATTTTTGAAACA